AAGGGTCGGGTGGACATAGCAGGGGTCGGGTAAGGGTCGGGTGGACATAGCAGGTGCTCAATGTTGGAATCCCCCTTTCCGGCTTGCTTGCAGGCCTAGGGCAGGCCTCCCTGGGTGACAGGTGAGGACACCTAGCCTCAGACTAGACACCATGGCTGGGTGGAGGGAGAACACTTGCTCTGAGACTGAGTCACGGGGACCTTCTGGGCAGCATTTACTGAGTGCCTGCAGTATGGTGGACAGCACTCATGCCACCTGCTTTTTCTGTAACACACCCCTGTGGTGGGTGGGCCGCACGCCCCAGGAGAACACAGGGGTCTCTCTGTGAGTTCTAAGACAGCATACCCCTTGGACAGGGCTGTGGGCTCTGAGGATGTTTTCCTTGTACCTTTTGGGCATTTTGACAAGGGGAATGCATTCATAGATGATCAGATTTAAAATTTAATGGCATGTACTTAAAATCAATGACAATAAAAGCAAATGTGCCTGCTGGGGGACGAGTATATGCATGCTCCCTGCCATACAAGGCCTGCCATCAGAACTCGGCCCAAGGGAGCATGGGGTATCTGGGTCCCCAGGGCTGGAATGTGGGGTGCCCACTTGCTGAACCCAAGAGTGCTTTGGCTGTTCCTCACACTTTTGTCTTGATTTTCCAGCTTTTAGGGTAGGGGTACTGGTAGGGGTGCTCACCGCTTGTTTCTCTTTAGACTCACCCCTCAGGACAGGGGGATTGGGTGGACGCCTGGGTGGGAGTTTAGAGAGGGACACAGATACATGATGACAGAGCCCTTGGCTGGCTTGGGCATGCTGGGGTAAGGGGTGTGGGGGGCAGAGAAACAGTGATGCCCTTGCTGGCATGAGCCCCCATCTTCCCTGCCTGGCACTCTCTGTGTGGCATTCTCCTCTGCAGCTTCTGCTTACCCATGCTGTGAAATAGGCTCCCAGGACATACACGTTTCACAGCTTCACTCTGAAAGTGCTCCTGCTGCTGGACACTCTTGAAGCCCCTACCCACCCTGGCCTCTCCTGTGTCCTCCCTCTCATCTGCCTCCTCTCCAGGGCCCGGTGCCAGCTGGTCCTTGCTCACGGAGACGCTCCCCTGAACTGGGATTTCCTAAGAGGAGGGGTGGGCTGAGCCCACACTCATGGGACCTCACGATGGGGCTCCCTTACCCTCCCCCCACTGTCAAACCCCCAGCGACTTCCCTTCCAGCTGAGCCTGTGCCGTGGGGGAGAGGGGGAAGACGGGAGAAGAGAAGAGAGTGGTTTCATGCTGCTCCTCACTCCTCCCCTCCCGTCTTGTTCTCTCCTGCCCATTCCTCCCTGTCTCAGCGGCTCTAGGGGGAGGGGACCCCCAAGGCTCCTAGGCAGTGCCAAGTCAGAGTCCTGAGTTCAGGGACCACACTTGTATCCACCCGATGGTCCCCTAGTGTGGGACCAGACCCCTTGCTGGGTGGCCCCCTGAGCTGGACTCATCCCCCACATTTCCCAGACCACCTCCAGTGTAGCCCGTGGTCCGGACCATGTCCTTCCTGTTGTGGGACCAGAGGTTGTGCCCATTATAAATACAAAGGAGGAGGCACCAGAGGCCAGGGGCTATCCCTAGTGCATGCCCACTCCCCTCCTCTCTCTCTCTTCTGGGGCATCTCTGCCTGCCAGGCTCTCGCTTCCCGTCCTGTCCCATTGCCATCCAGGGCTTCTCCAGAGGGCAGGGGGAGTTTTCTACCTCTTGAGGCTTCTGCCAGCTGGAGATCCCTGTTCTGGGGAGAACGCTGTCTGGGGGTCCTGTCCTGAGGCTGGGTGCCAGCACTAAAGTCAGCCATCTGTATCCTGTGGGACTTCCAGGCAGACCTGCCAGCCGCGTGAACCGCCGCAGCCGTGGCATTGTTGAAGAGTGTTGCTTCCGCAGCTGCGACCTGGCCCTTCTGGAGACCTACTGTGCCACCCCCGCCAAGTCCGAGAGGGACGTGTCGACCTCTCCGACCGTGCTTCCGGTAAGGGTCTCTGAGCCTGTCCCCTCTGTTTAGAGACAGAGAAATAGGACTTTCGGGACCCAGGGTTTCCTTTAGCAGTTGGGCCCTCTTAGACAAGAATCAAGGGCATAGCCAACTCCTGAGCTTAAAGCATACCTGGAGAACCAGCCACATATTTGCTTTGTCCCCTGTCCTGTGGGTGTTAGCTGGGCCACCTGTCAGCTAGTGCAACTCCAGCTGTGGGTGACAGTCTCCCTGTCAGGCCTCTGGTCAGGGGGGCAGGTGGCTCAGGTGAGGTTTATGGAGTAGGCACCAATTGACCAGCCCCTTCCCCTCTCAGGACACCATCCCCAGATCCTCCGTGGGCAAGTTCTTCCAATATGACACCAGGAAGCAATCCACTCAGCGCCTGCGCAGGGGCCTGTCTGCACTCCTGCGTGCCCGCCGGGGTCGCATGCTCGCCAGGGAGCTCGAAGCGTTCAGAGAGGTCAAGCGTCACCGTCCCCTGATCGCCCTGTCCACCCAAGACCCCGCCCACGGGGGTGCCTCTCCTGAGATGTCCAGCAATCAGAAGTGAGCCAAATTGTTGTAATTCTGCACCTAGTACCATCAACCTGTTACCTCCTGTTGACCAGGGATATTCCATCATGTCCCACCACTAAAATCTCTCTGTCCCATTTCCCCCTCAGCGGGCTTCTTCCAACCCTAGCCCCCATGCCCCGCCTCCCCAAATCAGGCTATTCTTTCCCCAGCCCCCCTCCATCGGGCTGAGGGAATCACAGTAACATCTTCAAAAATATACAAAATCAATTGGCTTAAACATCCCCCCAAACCCTCTCCCCAAATTATCCCCCAAATTATCCCCACATTGTATATATATATAAACATTTAAAAATTGAAAAATAAAGCCCCAACCCACATACACACATACACACACCAGCCCCTTTTAAAACTAATTGTCTTTTTAAAACACCAGAAAAGCTAACCAGAAAAATTACTAATAACTAAAAAAATCAATTGGCTGAAAAAATACTAAAAGAAGAATTGACTTAGAAACAATTGGCAAAATAAAGGAATTTGGCATGCCCCCACCCCCATTTTGTCCCCTTTGGACCTTGAGTCAAATTGGTATGGTCTTGAGTCTCTGAACCAGCAAAGTGAAAGGAGTGGGAACCCGGACTCTGCAGGGACACGTCATTGCTTCTGCGCCATCTCCGTTTCCAGTCAGAACTTTTGACTGGCCACTTCCAACATCAGTCGGCTGTCCTGGCAACAGCAGCCACCCAGACTCATTCCTCGCTCACGTTTCCATCACTAAGGATCAGCGCCGAGTTAGTGGGAGGGACCTGGTGAGACCTAAGGAGGGGAAAACAGACCATGAAGACCGAAATCCATACAGACAAAATACTTATTGGCACAACCCCCACAAACCCACAATCTAATGTTTTAACCCCTGATCTAAAAAGCACACATACCCACATGCATCCCTGCAGCCAGACACACACACACACACACACACACACACACACACAGAGATATCCCCAATATATGTACATGCCCACACACACACACACACACACACACACAGATATCCCCAACATATGCACATGCACACACACACACACACATGCACATACATAGAGATATCCCCAACATATGCACATGCACACACACCTACACACATGCATCCATCTGCACACACACCTACACACATGCATCCATCTGCACACACACATACACACACACCCTCGCACATGCACGCACATTCTCACATAATTGGATAAAAACAATAAGGAAAACTAAAATACCTGACTTCACATTACGTGGGTCAGGCTAAGATCCATCCCAGATTCTCTTAAGTCGTTTTCATGGTCTGAGCTCCCCTCCCATCCCATCTCTGCTGTGCAGCCTGTCGACAGAGAGCAGCTCTGTTTGCACCCTGCCTTTACCTGCTGCCCTCTTCACCTGTCAGAGGAGGGAACTCCGATGGCAAAGGCCTGGGTGTGCAGCCGACCAATGCTGCGGGGGCTGACATCTCTCCTGGGATGCACCTGTCTGGTGGGCAGGCATGTGTCCCAGGTTAAGGCTGTCCATTCCATCTTTCCACAGTGAGGAAGGGGCTCCTGCTGGACCCACCTTCTTCTCAGCACCTGTCCCCAAAGCACCCCACAGTGTGAGCCATGATGCTCTCTAGACCCCACCAACACTGCTACACCTTGCTGATTGCTTGTCGGCCTAGCTGAGGCGAGGAGCGAGTTTGGCCACTTCAGGGATGGCATAGCCAAGCAAGCTGTGTTCCCAAAGTAGCCTGCCTCCCTAGGTGTGCTCCTAGCTGAAAGATCTGGGGGAAGCCCCCCCCCGCACACCTAGGGAGCCCTGTGGCGGTTGGAGGGGGGGGTGGGGGGCAGTGGGGGCTGGGTGGGAAGAATGCTGGGGCAGGAAGTGGTCCAGGGAGGTTTGAATGGAGGAGCAGGAGGAACAACAGGTAGGCTTGCAGAATTACAGAGATAAATCAGGAACCCAAATTCTGTGTCAATTGATCTATCTCCCCCCTTTGTTTCTTGGGGCATTTTTTCCTTTTTATTTTTTTTTTAATTTTTTTTTTGGATCCCTCCTTAGCTTTTTATGCGCTCAGAAACCAAATTAAATCCACTCCTTAGTAACAGGGGGGCAGTGACAAAAGAACGCACTAAGCCACTGTGAGCACCACCTCGTCGTGCTCCCCGCCATTTATCACCCTTGATTTGACTTTTTTTTTTTAATCTGTCCCTTTCGCTTGGGTTTTGTTGAGAGTGGAAGCCTCGTGGGGGTGCTGGCCACTGCACCCCCACAGAGAAGTCAGAGGGGAATAAGAAGGCTGCTACCTGGTCTGGCTTCCAGAGATGGTGGCTGGTCCCAGGAAGTCCTGAGAGGCGGAGGAGGGGGTGGGGCAGTGTCTCCCCAGGTGTTAGGAGGGTGCTCGGAGGCCACAAGGATGGGGCCCCCAGCTGGTCCAAGGCTTGCTGGGGGGGAAGGGGTTGTAGATGTAGGAGTAGAGGGACTCCATCGGGCTGGAGCAAGTGGCCGCCTTCCATACATTTGGGGAGCGCTCCCCACCACCTCTATGACATCTTGCCCGCTCTTCAGCACCCTGCCTTGTCTTTACCCGGAGGTCTCGAGCTCTGCAGGGCCTCCTGGGGGCAAGGCAGGTTGAGGTCAGGGAGTAGGGGAGGTCAGTAGGGCCTGAGCCCTGTGGAGCACGAGAGCTGTCAGGTCTGTCCACCGACCAGGGTTGTTTGGGCCCAGAGGCCTTTGGGTCTGGCGATGCCGTAACAGCCACCACCACGGCGCCTAGGACTACGGCAGGGACCCGGGCGGCTGGGAGGTTTACCTCACCCCCACTTCTGCCCCCAGCGCAGTCCCCCTGCACAGTGGTCTGACTAGTAGTATAGAGGCTCAAGGCTTCTGGGTCCTGGCAACGGGGCTGGCATGACCCTGGGGGCGGTCTGTGCCAGTCCACCCACAACACAGAGGGTCCCTGGGCAAGCACTCAGAGAATGGGCTATTTGGAACATTGGATGAAACCCAAAGAACAAAATTGTCATAACCGGAGCACCCAAACAAATTGGTGTAAGATCCAGAAGACTGCGAGGCACCCCAAATTGCCTGCCTGTTCAGCAG